CTGGTCCCGAGGCCGCGCCCTTGCTGGCCGCGAGGTGGCGCTCGAGGATCGCGGATGGGCCTGGTCGTCCGGCTGGGGCTGTGCCCGCCCTTCCCCCACCCCAAGGCCCCGCGGGTAGAGGTGGCCTCAGCAGGCTGGTCTTGGGGTGGCCGCGTGTGCACGGCTGCGGGGCGCAGGGGACCGTCGCCTCCGGACACTGCACTGTGGGCTGCGGAGGGCAGGGGGCGGCGGGGCGGGGGGTCCGTCCAGCCACCAGAGCCCTGGGGCTGGGGCACCAGCTTGGGTGCGCTGTGGCCCTCAGTGGTTAGCGTTGCCTGCGGGAGATTCAAACCAAGCAAGCCCCTGCCCCTCTGAGAGCTCTCACCCTAGTCTTTCTATTAACCTAGTGAGTTCCACAAAGCAATTTTGTAACTGCTTGAGAGGTTTGTTCTACTCCCCTAAACACCTCAATTACGTAAACAATGAAATATTTTTTGCCTTATTGGTGTGTGTATGTGTGTTGTTATCAGTGTCACCATCCAAATCAGCTTTTGCAATGGGGTCTATTTGTCCTTGCAGGTGACTCCAACATTTAGGAAAACCATGGAGGAGCCTGTGAACCTGCACCATCCCACACACATATATCCAGGAGAATATGTTGAACCTTATAACAGGAGGCACAGCAGAGATTAGAACCACTCCTAAAGATATGGAAGATATAGGTATGGTGGTCATCATCTTCATTCAATTTACTACTCTCTGAGTTGCAGTATTCGGATGGGTTTGGAAGAGTGTACACTACCCACACTTCACTAGGTACTAATCCCAGGTGGAGATGTTGTTAAACATGGTACAATTTTTCTAGCACATTAATAAGGTCTTATGTACATTGCATATGGCCATTGTATTGATGAAAATGTTCCTTTCCATTTCAACCAATCAAGCAAAGAAGATAGACATTTCAAAATCATGTGGACAAAAATATTTATTTGCACTTTGTCCCAGGTATGTTAACTCTGCTATCTTCTGTCATAGTTCAAAAAGATATCGATTATATACATAACCCATAGATCATCACCCAGATCCATTACACTGTTGCTGTGGTTGCCAGGATAGATAAGAGGCAGCCAGCTCACTGGAGATCCTCGTAAGGTATACTGGCTCCAGAAGGTGTGAGAAAAAACTTAAGAATATCCAGGGACCTGCCACTTCAGTGAGGTTCTTAAGGGATCAGTAGTCAGAGGCATGCCACCATCTGCATCAAAAAAAAAAAAGTATATGACTTTTAGATATAGCTTATGGTATGCTTCTGGGTCCTGGTAGAAATAACCATGACCATGGAATACCAAGTGAATGTGTGTATAGAACTTCTAATGAGCTAAGTCCTCTCAGCCCTATCAAATCACAGTCAGGAACCATTAGCAATCTATTACAGGAATGAGCTGGTGCATCTGAAATACAAACTGGGTGGGGACAAAGATATGAGTAAGCTGTGTAGGCACTAGCTCAGACCCCCATGTTACCCATCACAGTTACTTCAGTGCCCCTTCCTCAGGTCACAGCTTTGGCCATGTGATCTTATATAGCTACTTGAAGGAAGAGGAAAAGGCCTGAGTTTGGCTTATGGTTGAATTGTCTTGGTATCTGAGTATGATTTAAAATGGATATCAGCTTCATTTCATTCATACCCACCCTAGGATGCCCCCAAAAGACAGAAAAGGAAGATCTTTCCGGTGGAGCTTTGAGTGGTATGCCTTGTTATTACTTCACGTGAAAAGAGAAGTGGTACAAGATAGGCATATACACAGATTCCTGCACATTGTCCAATGGCCCAGTGAAAGGCCTAGAAAGAAAAGGATAGGATAATTGGAGATAAGGAGGTGTGAGGTAGAGGCAATATGGATGAACATATGAGAGTATATTAATGACCAGCAGAAAACATAAAAAATTGAAGATGAACTGAACAGTGAAGCAGAAAATAATGACTCAACAAAGTTGACATTAGCTACTTTATTCATCATCCAGTGGAAATGGACACATGAACAGGGTGGCTATAATATGAGAAATGGAGACTGATGGTGGGCTCAACAACATGGAATCCTCTTCAGAGAAGCCTTTGATGCTGCCACTGGCTCTGAATGTCCAATGTGCAACACAGATCAATGCTGAGACCCCCAATATGACATCATTTCTCCAGCTTGAGTCTCTTTTCTCTTTCAGGAGGGCCATTCTTCTTTCTTACAAGAATGGAAATATATTCTGAGTATGAGTTTTCCTTTCCTTCTGGCAGAGCTTCAGTTAGCTTCACTATTCAGGGGCTGCTGGAGTGTATAGTCTGTAAACATGAAATCTCACAAAAGTTAGAATCCTATTAGTGGACACACTTTGCAGTGAAGCAGGTATATAAGTGGGTCCATGAGCATTACATTATCTGGTGTCACACACCACATCATCCAGAAGCTGCTAGTTTACTAGAGTATGTGAGTGCACTGCTGAAGGTGCAGTGGAAGCATAACCTTAGAGGCAATATTCTGAAGGATGGGGTGTCATCCAGAATGCAACATATGCACTGAATCAGAGACCTCCAGGTGGCACTGGGTTCCCAGTGGGAAGAATATGTCTGGAAACTAAAGGATTGAGGTCACAGTGGCCTCACTTTCCATTATTCCCAGTGACTTACTCGGGGGGGGGGCAACTTTATGATTACCAATTCATCAGCTTTGGGCTTTGCAGAGGTTCTGGTCTCTAAAGAGAATTCCCTTTCACCAGGAGATACAGCTAGGGTTCCATTGTACCTATAGCTGTGACTGCTGAATAGGCATTTCTGAAGTTCCTTGTGTATAGAAATCAGTAAGCAGAAAGTATCACTATTTTGGTAGGAGTAATAGACTCTTATCAAGGAAAAGAAAGAACTACTGTTGCAGTACAAATGGGAAAGAAT